CATGTGTTGACATCATGTGGTGACATCACCGGGTGTGACATCATGTGGTGACATCACTAGGTGTGACATCATCTGGTGACATCACCAGGTGAGACATCATGTGGTGACATCACCAGGTGTAACATCATCTGATGACATCATCAGGTGACATCATGTGGTGACATCATCATGTGGTGACATCACCAGGTGTAACATCATCTGATGACATCATCAGGTAGTGACATGTGGTGACATCATCATGTGGTGACATCATGTTGTGACATCACCAGGTGTAACATCATCTGATGACATCATGTGGTGACATCATCAGATGTGACACCATGTGGTGACATCACCAGGTGTGACATCATGTGGTGACATCATGTGATGACATGTGGTGACATCACCAGGTGTAACATCATCTGATGACATCATCAGGTAGTGACATCATGTGATGACATCATGTGGTGACATCATCATGTGATGACATGTGGTGACATCATCAGGTGTGACATCATATGGTGACATCACCAGGTGTGACATCATGTGATGACATCACCAGGTGTGACATCCCACCTGTCTGATTCTAACTTTCCCAAAACTGTTTTTAAGAGCGGGAATCATGAAAACAAACCTGTTCTGCTCTCATAGGGATTTCTGAAGTTTTGTCCATGTTGATTCATTCCAAGTATGATTGTGTCCTGATTTTAGAAGTCAGACGGTTCTGATGGTTGGAGCTGGAGGTGGTGTGTTTCAGACTTTAGGGGGAAATCTGTTAGTTAGCGGCTGGATAGAAAACAGACCGCTGACATGTGACTGAGCAGAATGTAAGACCCGGCGGTGGTCAGGTGGAAGTTCAGGGAGAAGCTGAATGGGAACTGTGTTTCTCAGAGTGAACGGATCCTCTGTTTTCAGCTCCTGAACGGGCAGCAAAACCTGGATCCTCCCTCTGAGTGTGTGTGGGCAGGTCCGCCCTCAGGAAGTAGAGCATGAGGCGTGTTGTGTTTGTGGTGAGCGGGCCGTTGTTCTGAACCCGGACGTGTTCAGGGGGGCGTCGGTTTGCTGGAGGTAAGAAACACAGCTGGATGTCCAGCCTCTGTGGGGGGAACCGGTCCCACCTCGACTCTCTGGGTCAGTTCTCTGAATGTAACGTGTTGTTCTGTTTCCTCTCATGTGTTTATGCAGATCAAATGTTAAATCACTTATAAAAAGATTCAATAAATGGTAGAAAAACAAACAAACCTATCTATAATATTTCGGGGCTTTTCTTATTAAAGAAAAATTTCTGGCAAAGTATTCTGCAGCTTGTAAATAAAACATGTTTGTGGATGTGAGGACATTAAGGCCTAAAGGGCCTTCTGGAATTAAAAGCATATATGAAGACAAAACCACGCTTTGAACCTCACAGGTTGTGGTTTAAAGTCCCACAGTGGTTTGTTTGGCTGAATTTATAAGCAAATTCTGTATTCTGAAGCTCAATTATGAAGACAAAAGCGCCCGGAGAACCACGCAAATTGTCTGGAAGTATAGCTCAGAGTGTTGGGAGGATGACTTGAATCTCACAGGTTGTGGGTTCAAGTCCCGGTTAATTCCCTTGCTACAAATTTCTTGAAGGATGGTGAAGTTTTCTGGTCTAAAGTGGGCGGTTTAATTAAAGTAAAGTAGTTTAAGTAAAATATATTCTAAGTGTTCTGGAAGCCATAAAGTAAAAATTATACTAAGTGTTCTGGAGGCCAGAAATAAAAAATATTCTAAGTGTTTCAGGG